TCAATGACTTGGGGGAAGTTAAAGGAAGTAGAGTAGTTAAATGGATGACAAAGTCAGGGTCCAGAAAGATCCAAACATAGTAGAACAACGAACTTCCTGTACAGATGAGACTAGATGATATTTAAGGTCCCTTCAAATTCTCAGATTCTCTGATTCTGTGCTCATGTCATGAATTGATCTTTATTGCCAGAGGGAGCTCCCACAGTGCTAAATCTCCACATTGCTGAAATAATAGATCCTTTATGTATTTGAATAATAATAATGATAATAGCTAGGATTAATTTAGAACTTAAAGGGTTTGCAAAGCACTTTACAATTATTATCTCATTTTATCTTCATAATAACCCTGGGAGGTAGGTGGTGTTGTAATTCCCATTTTATAGATGAGGAAACTGAGGCAGCCTGAAATTAAGTGACTTGCCCAGAGTTACACAGCTAGTAAGTGTCTAAAGCTGCCTGCAAGGAGCTTATTTCTCCTGAGAGATAGAATATATAAGCAGATAGAGAAATAGAAGGTAATTTGAGGAGGCAGAGGAAACTAACAAGTAGGTCAAGAATGGCTTTGGGTAGTATGTGTGAGTGAAGTTGAATCCTGCAGGAAGCTAAGAATTCCAAGGGTTGAAAGTGAAGAGAGTACATTCTAGATATCAGGATAGCCTTTGCAAAGACATGGAAATAGGAGATCAAATGTCAATTTTATGGAACAGTAAATAGGCCAATTTGGCTGGGACATTGAGTGTGTTAAGGTGAAATAATTTTGGAAAGGTAGATTTGAATCCAATTGTGAAGTGCTTTAAATGCTATATTGAGGAGCTTGTCTTTTATTCTAAAGGCAGTAGGGAGTCAGTAAAGATTCTTAAGCAAAGGAGTGATGACGTGTCATATAGAAAGATTATTTTGACAGCTATTTGGAAGACAAGTTGGAAAGGGGGAGAGCCTGGAAGCAAGGAGAACAGTTAGGAGACAGTTGCAGTGTTTCAGATGAGATTTGATAAGGGATGAAGTAGGGTAATGGCTATGTGAGTGGAGAAATGGGGATAAATTTGAGAAATGTACTGGTAAAGTGAACAAGATATGGCCAAGTGATGGGTTATAGAAGTTAGCTATTAGAACATGAATAATATTAGAGCAGATCAGAAAACAATTTAATCAATCTTATATATGAAAAATATAGATCTGATGCTAGTAAATGGGTCAATTTTCATTAAGTTGATAAAAATATTGGCATTAATAAATAAACTCTTCTTGAGAATTATGAGTCAGTCTATTAGTACATATTCCCATCTTGGTTCCAGGATACATGAAAGAATTAATAAAAAAATATTTATTAAGTGCTTACTATGTGCCAGGTACTGTGTTAAGGATTGGAAATACCAAAACAAAATGATACAGTCCCTGCTCTCATGAGACTTAAAATGGGAATAGTTTTGGGGAGTTACAGGGATGGCGAATTGATCCACAGGGATGTCAGTTGACATTCTCTTTCCAGAAGAATCGGTAGTATTGATTGGTTACTGTGTCCAAAACAGGAGATGGAAAGTGAGATTGGGAGTACGTGAATGGTGGCAGAGTAAATGGCTGGAGGGGTTGTATCTAGGCTGGCTAGATATAATGTGCTAATTGAGTTTGCACTCACTCACCAATAAAAACAGTTCAGGCCCAAGGTGGGAGTCACAAAACTAAGTGGATTAACTTCCCCAGGGGTGAGGGTGTATTGTGTGGAGGTTCAGTCCAGAGGGTGCTATTCTAGTTGGGGAACAAGTTGGGTGGCAGCAGGGCAGATCATCACTTATGGAAGCTCTCAGTTTTGATTTCAGTGTTTTCATGATGGAAATTTTGTTCACAGAGCCAAGTTAATCTAAATATTGCTCAGAGTTTGGTCATGTAGCCCAAAACTTCAGGTAGTTTTTTCCTAATAGCCTACTGGTTCATGTGTGTTAATTAGGTAAGACTTATTTTTTTTCCTAAAAGTCTCAGATGGGTCAACCTAACTCTCAGGAGAGTGCACTGATCATATTTTCTTCTAGGTCTTAGGTAGAAAACATGAATAATTTCATACTAACTACATTGTACACTCCTCAAATTTTCCATGAATCTTAACCAGAGAGACTTTTCTGCTATTAAAAATAGCAACGAATGAAAAACCATCCTGTTGGCCCTTTTTAGGGCCCAAACAGACCTTGACTTAAACAAACAATTTTCCAATTTCCTGAGCCTTCGATGCACGACTGAAAGATTGTAGAGTTTTCAAGGTTTCGTTGAGATAAAAGCTAAGGACAGATGATCCTGATTTCCTGCAAAAATATATTGTGTTAGATAAAGATCTTTGAATCTGACCTTTTTCATGGCCATAGTCTCATGGTTTAGACTGAATCACTTGAATCTGTTGCAGATATTTGTTTTCAATATTTCCATGAGTTTTAAAAAATTTAAACACTAGAAAATGAATATCAAATTATTTCACTTTTGAGTCTTTGTTAGTGATTGGATATGTGGTAAATGAAGCATTAAGTTTACGTTAGCTATGTGTTTTAATGCATGTGAAGGGAAATAAATGCTCTTTTTTAAAGTTAAGAACTAATTAGCTTGGAGCTTGGCTTTCAATATTTGGAGGTTATTTAGAAAATCATTGTTTCTCTCTCCCTTCCCCTCTCCCTTGAAGTCTAGATGAATAAAACTTGTTTTGGGCAGGAAGAAGGAAGAAAAGTTTTAATTTGTTGTATGGAGCACCTCAGCTTAGTCCTTTGATAGGAATAAAAAAATGTTTATAAGCCATTCATTGCTAACAGGGCAAGGAAAAACTCTTGGAGTGAGAACAGAGCTTGTAATGATATATTTAATTTAACAGGATGCCTGTTGGCATTCATTGTCTTGTTATTCAGAAATGAATATCTGTCCAGTTTATCAAAATGCTTAACAGCTTAAGTTCCAACACTCATATTAATAGCTAGCATTTATCTAATTGTAAGGTTTGCAAAGTGCTTTATGTGTATTATCTGATTGGATCTTGATTGAAACATAGAGTGAGCTTGTCTGGAAGATGATAAACGTACTTTTTTTTTCCTTCCTAAATGATAATCTGATAATCCTCATATGTGAACTTGTATTATGAAAGATATTTCAGTAAGGATGGAAATAGTCTATAATGTGATATATCCCTTATGATATTCCATATTATAATCACTGCTGATGGAATTAATTTAAATATTTTTCTTAGTGTTGGCTTTTTTCTGTATTGGTTTTAATTAATTCAGAATATTTCACATGCATTTTTTCTATATTCAGTATTCTTTTTTAGGAATTTAAGACAGGAAAGCAAATTGCTTCAATCTTGTCATTTTCCTATTAAAAATGTTAAATGGCTCCCACTGCCTATAGGGTAAAATCTCAACATCTTAGCACAGCATTTGTGGCCCTGTCTTTAGCCTAATCTATTTTTATACCCTTAATAGACACTTTACATTAGCTAAGTTGGTTCAACACTGCCCCCTGAACTCATTCTTTCATTTGTGCCTTTGCTTGTGCTTCCTTCCACCTTGAAGGTGTTTCCAGTTCCTCTTCATCTATCCAGATTGTCCATCTATCCAGATTGTCCATCTATCCAGACCTTTGTAGGTCCAGCACAGATCCCTCCACCTTTGTGACTGGCCTAGCTGGCATTAATCACTTCCTCCTTTCATGGCATTCCATGCCTGTATTATTACTTAGAGAATTCTGGAGTTGGAAGGGATTTTAGAGGAGCGTGGAGGGATGTGCTACAGAAGATATGGGGAACCTGTGGTCTTCTAGGTCCTCAGGTGCAGCCTTTTGAGCGAGTCCAAGTTTTACTGAATATATCCTTTTATTAAAGAGATTTGTTCTGTGAAGTTTAGATTCAATCAAAGGGCCACACTTGAGGACCTAGAGGGCCACATGTGGCCTTGAAGCCACAGGTTCCTTATCCTTGCGCTACAGTATCTCTGACAGATCTTCTTGAATACTTCAGTGATAAGAAACAAAATACATTTTGAGGTTTCCTATTCTGTTTGTTGAAATCTCTTCCTTAAAATGGATTAAAATCTGCATTCTTACAACTTGCAACCATTACACCCTTGTTATGTCCTTTGTAACAAAGTAGAATAAGCCTGATCCTTTTTCTAGATGATGGGCCTTCAGATATTTGAAGATGACTGTTGGGCTCCTCCTTAACTGTTCTCTTTTTTCAAGCTAATTCTCCATAATTCCTTAAACCTATTCTCATATGGCATGATTTCTAGACCCTGCAGCACATTGTTCATTTTTTTTTCTGACTGTACTACATTTTGTCAATAACTCCCAGAATTAAAAAGATATACCTTCAGTAGGATAGGGAACAGTGTTAATTTCTCTTTTTTAAAATACTAATTATTTGTGGATAGAGCACCGGCCCTGAAGTCAGGAGGACCTGAGTTCAAATCGAGCCTCAGACTAAACACTTGGACGCTTACTAGCTGTGTGACCCTGGGCAAGTCACTTAACCCCAATTGCCTAAAAACAAAACAAAACAAAAACAAGTAAAATACTAAGTACTTCTGTTTATGCAGCCTAAGATTTTATTAGTTTTAACTTTTTGGTACTTATTACTAACTTATATTGTGTTGTGTATATACATACATACATACATAAATACATACCTATATGCATATATGTGTGTCTAGGTCTATATGTCTCTATCAATATATCTTGCCTACTTAAGTGGATTGCAAAAATTTTGAGGGCTGGCCCATGTCTCGTATCCCCCATTGTGCCTAATATCTAAATAAATTTAATAAATATTTGTTGATATGAAATCCCACTCATGGCAGCCACCTTGAAAATTAACTTTTCTGTTCTCTCAGATAAGATAGTTGGGGATTACTTCTCTATAGAACAAAGAGCCTCCTCCAGACAAGTTATTTTTAATGACACAGGATGCTGAGATATGAAGTGATGTAATAGGTTTGGCCTGTCACTTAATTTGTCCTTGCTTTTTTCCCTTTTAGATGAACTGCGTCAAGCTATTGTGGCTATGATGAACAGAAAGGATGAATTGGAAGAAGAAAACAGGTATCTTGTGGCCTTCCAGCTGTCAAATTCTACTCTTCCCTAACCCCTTTTGGGTGCTACATTTTTGAGGCCAAGTGACTCTGTGTGTGTCTGTGTGTGTGTATATAATGAAACTTGTTTCTGTTTTATACAAAAATGTACAGAATAGCATTTTAAAAAATCTTTGTATCTATGTCTTGTAACATAAGATTGCTCCCCAGAATAACAAAAGCACATTCTTAGTTTCATGAATCACTATTGTTATTAAGAAGTCCTTAAATTGTGTAATGCTTTTAACCATTCAGAAATGTTTTTACCTCCCTCTTCTCATTTCACATATGAGTGTTGTCATTCCCATTTTTAGTACAGAATGGTTAAATCACCTTTTTGCCCATTCACAAGGTTAGTTACTGGCTAAGGTGTGACTAGAAATTAGGTCTCTTGACATCAGGTTCAGGGCTCTGGAAGGATGGAAGGATATATACCGTGAAGCATTTCACATGATTTACCTAATGAGTAAGAAATTGCCTTCTGTTTGAAGATTGCCCATGTTTCCCTTTAAAAATCTCTGAAAAATGTTTTGCAGAGCTTTCCGAAACCATTGCTGACCTAGTTGCATAAAGTGTAATACATTCTAATTTTACGTTTTAGACACTTAAGGAAATTCCACTTGGCCTTGCTTGTGCTTATGAAAGTGGCATACCTTTAGAACAAATGAAAATTTTAGTCTGAGACTGTGCTTATACTCTGGTGTCATGTAGCAAGATTTGTTCAGGTATTTAGTGTGTAAGTGGGCTTCCTCTCCAAAAAAACAGAAAAAAAAAAAAGCTATGTGCTAAGGTATAATGCTGGTAAAGTCATGTTTGGTTTGCTTTTCAACAGTAACATTTGAATAGCTTTGGAAAGAACTGCTGCCTACTCTTTGTCTAAAACCAGAAATTATGTTCACAAGAGAACTTTTGGTGGGTTGATAAGCTTTGGAAGGCAAGACATAATTTGTTGTGAAATGATAGAATGTCAGCACAAAATGTGTTTAATGGGTAATAATAATGGGTATCTTTAAAAGGAAACATCTTTTGTATAATTTGCACATTCTGTGCATGTTTGCATGCCCTTGATTATTTTCCCAACCTCTGCATTCATTTTCTTTGCTAAACTTCTTTTCAGTAAGGCTTTGACAAGATGACCCTCTTTAAAAAAAAAAAAAAGCAAAACAAAACATAAAAGGCTGATTTAATACAGTAAAGGTTTAAATATGGCTTGTTTGACACTCTCTTATATAATCAGGGTCAGGCTGATGTTGTTTTACTTTCCCTGAAACTGTCAAATTGGTGACTTGGTATATATTTCCTTGGTCTTATTGACTGTCACTCATTAGCCCTACCATCTAATGTTTTTATTGTCCTGAGACTCCAGGGCATGCTTTGGAACATTCTTTAAATAACTTTACCCAAAGGAGCTTAAATAAAATTTTATTTTAGAGCAGAGGAAAAAAAATCAACTGGATTTTAGCAGTAACTCAATTTTGGGTTTGATGGGCATTTTGCTTTTGATACCTAAAAACGTATGATGCCCCCTTTTCCCCCAGATCATTGAGGAACCTGCTTGATGGCGAGATGGAACACTCTGCAGTGCTCAGGCAAGAAATTGACAACTTGAAACGAAAAGTGTCAGAACAGGAAGAGCGACATGTCGCAAAGATCCAGGCATTGGCAAGGTGGGTAAAATGGAGTTGAGAGCAAGGCGTGGGATGTGTATGGAATCCTGTGATGGGTAGTTTTATTTTGAAGACCATAAGGACATTGACCAAATAACATGCTGTTCTTTAGAAATGCATTTAGGAGAAAACAGGGTATAAAACTCTTTTAGGAAAAGCAGCAAGAATGCAAAGTGGATGACTTTGATTACATTAAATTGAAAAGTTTTTTTACAAACAAAGTCAATGCAACCAGGGTTAGAAGGGAAGCAGAAAGCTGGGAAAGAATTTTTATAGCCAGTGTTTCTGATAAAGACCTCATTTCTAAAATATATAGAGAACTGAGTCGAATTTATAAGAATACAAGTCATTCCCCAATTGATAATGGTCAAAGGATATGAACAGGCAGTTTTGAGAGGAAGAAATTAAAGCTATCTATAGTCATATGAAAAAATGCTCTAAATAACTATTGATTAGAGAAATGCAAATCAAAACGACTCTGAGGTACCACATCACACCTGTCAGATTGGCTAACATGACAAGATAGGAAAATGATAAATATTGGAGAAGATGTAGGAAAATTGGAATACTAATGCATTGTTGGTGGAGTTGTGAACTGATGCAACCATTCTGGAGAACAATTTGGAACGATGCTCAAAGAGCTATAAAAATGCGCATACCCTTTGACTCAGCAATACCACTTCTAGGGCAATATCCCAAAGAGAAGATAAGAATGGCAAAAGGACCCACATGTACAAAAATGTTTATAGCAGCTCTTTTTGTGGTGGCAAAGAATTGGAAATTGAGGGGATGCCTATCAGTTGGGGAAGGGCTGAACAAGTTGTGGTATATGAATGTAATGGAATATTGTAATGAATGTAATGAATACTATAAGAAATGATGAGCAGGCAGACTTCAGAAAAACCTGGAAAGACTTATGTGAACTGATTCTGAGTGAAATGAGCAGAAGCAGGAGAACATTGTATACAGTAACAGCTACATTGTGTGATGACTGATTTGAATGGACTTAGCTCTTCTCAGCAATGTAAGGATCTAAGACAACTCCAAAAGACCCATGATGGAAAATGCTGTCTCCATCCAGAGAAAGAACTATGGAATCTAAATGCAGATGGAAGCATACTATTTGTTCTTTTTTTTTTTATTGTTTTGTTTACTTTCTTCTTTCTCATGGTTCATCCCATTAGTTCTAATTCTTTACATCATGACTAATGTGAAAATATGCTTAATATGAATGTGTAAGTAGAGCCTATATCAGATTGTATGCTGTCTTAGGGAGGAGGGAGGAGAGGGAAGGGAAGAAAATTTAAAACTCAAAAAATCTTATGGAAGTGAGTGCTAAAAACTAAAAGTAAATAAATTACTTAATTAAAAAAATAAAAGAAAATAAGAAAAAAAAGAAAAGCAGCAAGAGAAACATGAAAATTGAGTGATTCTCAACATATGTCCTTAAGAAATTGGATACATATGAAGTATAAAAATACTAGTATTTAATAGACTATAACATTATATTGCTATATCTATAGTTGCCACTGTGATGAAATCCTGTATTCATGTTGAGCAGGTGTTTGTTGATATAGTTCTGATAAAGCCCATTCTTTAGTTTTACTTTAAGTAAATCCTTGATCTCCTCCCTGTTTTTCTCTCCTTGTTTCCCCCCACCGCCAACATATTCATATCACTTTAGGGTATTAAAGTGAAATCTGAGGGGAGAGGGACAATAGTACAAGAAAACCACAGATTACATATGCTATATTTGTAGACATTGTGTACCAAAACTTTCTCCAAAATTTTACTTGATTTCCTCATTGTGGTGTGGAAGTGATGCTGGTATCTTAAGGATTATGCCAATGAAGCATAAGCTCCAGCATTTTCTACTAATTTATAAAAGTGGTATGGTAGACTAAATATTAGATATATATTTAGAAGATCTGACTTTGAGTCCCAGTTCTTTTACTGTTTATGTGATGTTGGGCAAATCATTTAACTGGTTTGGGTCTCTGTTTCTTCATTGGTAAAAATAAAGTAACTGGACAAAGTAATCTCAAAGGTCCTCTCCAGCTCCAAACCCTGTGACTTTACGGCAGGTCTTTGAGTGGCTCACATGTCTTTTATCCAAGTTTAAAGTCTAGCTAGTTTGGAGAACTTTATCACCAGAACGTTGACTGGACATTAGGTGATTAATTTTTCTTAGGTTTTTTTTTTTTATAGTAATTTGTGATAACTATTTCTTAAAGGGGTAGAGAAGTTGCATTATGTATTGGTTGAGGTGACTCCACAGAGATGAAGTCACAAGGTTTTAGAAGTATTGAAATAAGTCTAGGAAGAGGAAGCTGATTATTCCTTTTCTCTCCCTACTAGTCAGATCTCATATGCTTCATTGTGTTGAGTTATGGGCACAACATTTAAAGCAGGATATTGTCAATTCAAAGCACATAAAGGAGAGGACCTAGGATAGTTAGAGTACTCAAAGCCATATTATTTGAGGAGGACTTGAAAGGAATGGGTATATATGATTTTGTGAAGAGAGAAAATCTATGGTGTATATGATTAAAGAGCTCCCACAAAGAAGATGAATTAAACTTATTACATGTAGTTACATGACTCAGAATTAGGATCAGGGTTTGAAGTTAACAGAAGCAGATTTTTATCTCACCATAAGGAAAAATTTATTTTAATCAGAAAAAAAAATTAGAGCTCTCCGATAATAGAATGTGCTGCAAATTTATGTAATGAGTTCCCTGTTACTGGAGATGTTTAAGCAGATATTTATTGACTGTGTTGAGATGTGGTAAAGGGCCTCGGGAAGGGGTTTTGAATGAATAGCATCTCAGTTCCCTTCCAACTTTGAGATTCTGTAATTCAGCAATTTTTTATTTGAACCAACAACTCTGCAAATCTATAGAGTGGAGGAATTATATATTCATAATGATAATCTTGAGGCACTGCAAGTTTTTGAAGTACGTTCTGACTCATCAGAGAAAGATTAAATTAACTCTGTGTCTTGGTGCAAGACATTTCATCTCTTTGGGCCTCAGTTTCCTCATTTCTAAAATGAGGAGGTTGTGCTAGGTGATTGCTATTGCCCTTTCCTTTTCTGAAAGTCTGATTCTATTATTCTAGCTATTTGAAAACCAGCAAGTTTTGTATAGATGTAATGCTATATAATAATCTCTTAAGCAGATAATTTAATTAACCATTATTTCCCTCCAACTTTGCCAAATCAGCCCAGTTACTCAGAGTTTACTGTATTTGAAAATTTCTAACACTCAGGTTGTCTGTAAAACAGACAATTTCTTGGGATGAAGAGACAGTAAGAACTGAAATGGAATAATTAGGTGGTTGTGGTATTTATTACACAATGCAATGTTTATTATGTTTTCAACTGGGTTCATATCTATCTGCAGCTAAATTCAGTGACAAAGTTTCCTTGCGTTTGTCCTCATTTGATCAACGTGAGCACTGTGTCATCAAGCAGACAATGTTCCTGTATCAACAGAAGCCTTAGGTATCTGAATATTTGGTTCAGCTTGGTTGTTTGCATGTCTCTCCATGGCTATAGATTTTGCATGTCTAGTGGATCAGTTCTGCTCATAGAAAGACTAAATATTTAGGTGGTAGCCTTCTGAAAGCAGCCAGGGTGAACTCAAACACAGAGGCTTAGAGGTGGGAGTGACCTCAGAGATCGTCTAGATTAGCCCCTTATTTGCTGTGTATCAAGAGTAGGAACAATTTTGGAGTAATAAGTGAGCAGTGTTGCTGGAGTAGAACTGGAGTAAATTATGAGATAATATATAAAGAATTTTATAAATTTTACAACATTGTGTGAATGTCAGTTACTATTATTGTTGTTGTTTTTTTATGGGCCCATCATTCCAGGCATGTTAAGATATTATGCCCAAACATACTTTGCTGCTTTCTCTCGGTCATTCTCCCTAAAACTTGGCTGCAAACAGTTTAGTTTTTCACTGATTTCTATGCCACAGTTATTTGGGATGAATGGTGATGCTTATGCCAGGCAAAAAGCATCTTTTCCTTGTATGCATCTTCCAGGGAACCACAGAATTCATTTGGTGTCCAGGGCCATTACTCTTCATTTGACACAGTGCTCCTATCTCTATTGCTTTTCAGGCCTTGAATGCCTTGCATGCTTTCTTCTTTATATAGCTGTCCTCTATGGAGAGGTGATTGGTGAAGTTTGCTGTTTATTCATGGAGTGAGTTGCACTCATATCTGAAAGGGACAGGGAGAACGAGTTTTTCTCTGCTGGGTTATGGCTAGTCAGATACCATATATTGGCTTTCTGTGAGAACTCTAAATCTCTGCCTCTGCTACCAGGCTCTTCTCCCAAGTTTTAAAGAGAAAAATCATTCAAGAAGTGAGTCAGTTTCCCGTATGTTTATCCAAAGGGATTAATGGAATTCTTGTCTAAAGAAGTAAAGGGTAAGAACCAAAGCTCTCAGGTAACTGATGGGGAATTGGCTTGGGAACCACCTTCTCAGAAGAGCCTGTGAACCTCCAGTGCCAATTCCTTATGGTCCCAAGTGACAGTTGTTCATAGGATCGTAAAATTAGAGGACTAGAGGTTTAGAGCTGGAAGGGATCTTGGAGACCATCTAGTCCAACTCCCTTATCTTAAAGATGAAAAGCTCTTGTTTTGAGAGATTTAATGATTTTCCTACGCTCACAAGGTAGAAAGTAGCAGAGTCAGGATTTGATCCCAGGTCCTTGGACTCTAAATCTGGTGCTCTTTCTGCTGCAGAGTTCCCTTAGAGCAAGGTTCTTAACTCATGGTCCATGAACTTGTTGTTTTTAATATTATGATAACTGTATGTAAATGTAATTGGTTTCCTGTGTATTTTCTTTTGTTTTATATATTTAAAAACATTCTGCCAAAGGTGTCCTTGATGCAAAAAAGGTTAAGAACTTCTATCTTAGAGAATGAAGGCTCATGAAAATAGGTTGAAGTAATAGCCTAGACTGGAGTCACAGTAGGGCCATGT